TATATGTTCTATACCTCAGTATATATGGTATATTTGTATATTGCAATGTTATAAACCATAGCATATGCACTATATTATATACTGTGTGTGGTTTACATTGTATAAAAGTATACTGTATACTACAGCATGTTATATACTATGTATAGGATACAGCATATACTGTATATGGTATACTATACACTGTATATAGTATTGATTGGATATCACAGTGTATATACTATGTATAGTATACATTGTATAAAATTATACCCTAGCATATTATGTACTATATATATAGTATATATTCTATACCACAGTATATATAGTATACTGTATATTATAGTATATGCCGTATAAAAGTATACTGTATAGTATATACTGTATGAAAGCATATTGTATACCATAGTATATGCTGCATAAAATGTACATATATGGATATCTATCTATATGACATATAGATATAATTATATATGTGGTATACAAGAAAAAGAACTTTTACCTTTTAACTACACACTCACTGCAGTGCTTCCATTTTACTAATGGGATTAAGAAAATAAAACATAAAATTATAAGTCCTATTGCCATGAGTTTTCTTATGTGTTCATTTATAAGCATTAGTATATTTAAAAATAAACGTTTTATCTCTTCTTTTTAAAATGTTGGCTTCAATGTAGTACCTCATGTTTCTTTTATTTGAGTCTTCTGGAATAAGTTTTTGAAAAAATTCCTATTTAATTGGAATCTGCCACGGGAACATTTGTCATCGATTTTTATTGTTCTAAAAGCAAGGAAAGGTGGTGAGAATTCCTACTATTTGTCCATTGATCTGATTTCACTGAATTGGGTCTATTAGCTGTGTGGACCTTTTATTAAGCAGAAGGCATTGAGGAAAGAGAGCGTTCTGTTCATGTTGGATGTTGGGCTATTTTTGATGAAATTCGGTGTGCATCTGAAAGGTAGAGAAACACATTTATTTTGTTCTCAAAGAATAGAGCAGAGGATTTTGAAAATCCAGATAAGTAAGATTTAGCCTGATACAATCTATCTATTAAAGTTCTTGGAGATGCACAGTCAGAAGCCTTAACCCAAGATAAACTCACAGAGCTCACGAAAGTCCATCATTTTCCTTGTCAAAGACTCCAAAGACAGCAAGACCTCTAAGTGGGATATCAGTGTCTTGCTTTTTTAAACTTGACTTCCGCAGGCAACATGTTTTAATTTCCATGAGTAAAATTAAAGGTCATAATGATTAAGGATAGAAAGAAACGGACGTATCTTCTCTCCCTAGTAAAGACCTCAATGCGTATCTGCATCTACATTTCCCAGCACCTGAAACACACATTTTCACCTGTTGTAGTTGGAGACATCATTTGGCAGAGAATAGTCAAGTGCATTTCTAAGCTCTTGTGATCCATTTTATTTGCTAGAGATAGGTATTATGATTTTTTTAAAAATATCAGTAAGCTCTCTGAGAGGCTCTTTTTGATGGTATAAGGTCCTTCTCACACCTAACATAATGTAGCAGCTGGTCATTTTAAGACCAGACATAGGCTACAGCTCTCCCTAAGCCATCCACCCTAAGCACCTCTCACTTTTTCGCAAAGGTTGAATACAAATTCATCACAGCATAACCAACACAATCCAGAGTCATGGCCTCTGATGCAGGCCTACACCAGTGTCCTGAGAACAGATCAAAAAATGGAAATCTGTGTTGGTTGCATTGGCCGTCTCAGAACTATGTTTCCATTCTCTCAACTCCGATACCATTCAAGGAAGCCCTTTGATGGACAAGGCATCGTTTGGTTTTGTGGAAAGTGCTATTTGTTGCAACGTGTTCTAGAGAGATTGGGTCTTCCTTGGTGTTCCCTTGATTGGCACTTCTTCCCACAAAGAGCTCAAACCAAATTGGTGTTTGGCCCGTGAGCACCTGGATTCTATGGGCCAGTCAGGTCTCGTATTCCCAAAGGGATTTTAGGTGACACAGATTTCAATTCTTCCTCATCCTCTGTAAGCCTTGGAATTTGTTTTAGTTTTTCCTTGACCTTACTTCTCTTTAATCAAAACTTTCCACGTCGGCTTTTTTTGTAGACTAGTACATGTTTTGGCCTATGCTGTTGTTTTTCCAGCACTGTTTTGGGTGTGTCTTCTAAGCTGGGTCACGGAAACACCCTCCTAGCTACAAGGAACTCTCCTCTCTCCTTCCTCTCAGCCCCCTACAAGCATATTCCCAACATTACTTTCCCACGCTTAACAACAAACAAACTATGGAATATAGACATCGAAACCTAGACAGAAGGTCACACCTGTGAGTTTTGGGTTGTACATGAAGAAGCACCAGCATACATTCGCCTTGCCTGACATATGAGCAATAAGGAACACCAGCGTGCTGTCAGTAAGGTGCAGAAGATTGGAAGCAACACCAAATGATCATGGGGATGCATGTCTTGACGCCATATATTCCTGTCCCCGTAGCAACGTGTTGTGATGGACAGATGGCGAGATACTCCTATAATCCAGTGTCTCTAGTGCTTACAGGAGCAGTTGATGGTACTCTGTGTCTTCTGTCATGGTCTGTGGGTCACGGCCTGAGTCCAGTGGCATCAGATATGGTTTATCCTATGCTGTTCCCTTATGGGCGCCATTTTGGCTCATCTTCCTTTGTACCCCTCAAGCAGCCCCCTCGGGACAAGGAAATACTCCTCTCCACAGACCTTGGTGTACCACCGCCCTATTTAAATAAATAACTAACAACTACCTCGTAAGACCTTGCCACGTATTGACAAGTACCTAAATCCGCAGACTGCGCGTCTTCTCGATCCTCTGTTTTCTTGTTAAACCAGCGGCTATGCAAATGTTATCCCCTAGTTACTTACTCTGGAAAATGGTGCTTTGCATTTCATATTAGAGGAAGTTCATGTCCCTCCAGTTTCTGCATCTGCATCCCATGGCAACCTCCCCATGTGCCTCTGTCTTTAGATGGCCATCTTCTTATGAAGGCATCGTTCATATTGGCTTAGAAGTCCAACCTGCTCCATCTTATCTTGACTGATTCTATCTGCAATGGCCCTATTTCCAAATAAGGCGCTAGGCACGGAGACTTGAAATTCTGGAATCAGCATTCAATAGAATCTCAGGCACGGTGGGCATGAAAAAGCACCCAATAAGAGAACGTTGTGGTATTTTTAATCCTGGCTCAGTCTTTGATAGGTCTTGGTGAAAAGGTCCATTTGGTGTTAGGAGCTCTTTCCCATCTTGTGACATTGATCAATTTCCTTTATCTTTTTTTCTTTCTTTTTTAAACAGCACGAGAGCATCAGCCTCAGAGCCTTTGGCAAGGTGAGAGGAGCTAACGAGAATTTAATAGCTTTGTTTGGATTTTACCATTTTTTTTAATGGTTCAGTTACACTGGTGATGAATGATCCTAGCTTCCCATTTAAGAAAATCATATGAAGCTCATTTCCAAACATGTAAGGGAAAAAAGTATGTGGTTTTAGCTAAGGTAAGCAACGACGGTGTGTTTAGATATTACACGAAGAATGCTACGTGTGGATGCCGGTGGCATGACCACCATTTGGGAAATGGCCTTCTGAGTCTTTCTGCTTCAAGAATGTGACACTTTGCTAGTGTCATGGTCTGTAGGTCAACTCTGCAACTCTAGCAAAAATCTCTTTGCTAGGAGACGCATCACACATCTGAGTTCAATGACAAAATTGGGCATCGTCGTGCCTTCAAAAGGGCTGATGGGTTGAAGTGTTCCCCCCTCAAATTAATATAGGCTGAAATGCTAACCCCCAGTCCCTCAGAATGTGGCCTTATTTGGAAATAGGGTCATTGCCGATGGAATCAGTCGAGATAAGATGGAGCTGGTTGGACTACTAAGCCAATATGACCAATGCCTTGGTAAGTAGATGGCCATCTAAAGAAAGAGACACATAGGGAGCCTGCCGCGGGATGCAGATGCAGAAGTTGGAGGGATGTCGCTGGAAGAGAGCTTGCAGAGCAGCAAGAACTAGGAAGGAGCACGAAACCTTCCCTTGCAGGTTTTAGAGGGAGCTTCGTTCTCACCAACGCCCGCATTTTGGACTTCTAGCATCCAAACTGTGAGACAATAAGTTTTTGTGGTTTTAGTCCACACCATTTGTGGTACACAGTTATAGCACTCCTAAGGATGTTGTAATAATATAATAAACAAGGATTATATTAAAATACTTGTGGACTTGACCTCAGTCATCTCCTCGTCGAAGAAAGAACCTTCAGGTGATAGGAAAGCACCTCTCCCAAACGTCCGTATACTATCCTGTTCCCCCGCCCCTCCCGCCTCCATGTGAGCCTTTCTTAGACCAAACTTGTCAAATCTGAGGTCAAAGTGGGTATCCATGCAATAGCTTGCCACTCTCTAAGCACGCCATACTTTTGCTGAGACCACAAAATGTTCTGAAACCACTTGCCACCCAATAATATTTGGGGTCATTGTAAAGAATGACACCCGCTAAAGCCCTAAGTAAGCATGCAAAACCGCGGCGTCCCCACATCCTCTCTCTCGAGGTGCGTAGGACTCAGGCACTGCAGGGCTGCCCCCGGGTGGGAGCCCAATTCCGACACCCGGCTCTCCACGGGGAGATTCACCAACCCTCGGAGAGCATCTCCGATGTTAATTCCGTGCATGAGGCTCAAGGTTAATGAGAGCAGCAGAGACGCAGGTAGAACAGAATGATAGCTCATTAATTTCCACAGTTATGTCATCAGGCCAGAGAAAAATGAAAAGATGCTGTGATGTTTGTAGCTATTGGGAATGTTGGGGAGTCTTTTTCTCTTATTGTTTGCAGAGTCGCTGCTCAAGAGGACATTGGCAACATCTGTTATGTGTGTGGGTCTTGTATATTTTCCACTATGCTTAGCCAACGAAGCTTCCCTTTGAGGTGTATTATATATATTTATATAGATTTATTTCCTATATATGCACATATTTGCAAATATGAAATGTGTATTTATTTATGAAATAAATGTGTGTAACATAGTTACATGAATAAATATGTTGTAAATATACGTATATATAGGAAATAAATCTCCTAACTGTAGAGAAACACTACAGATGTATATACATATATGTGTGTTAATAAAGAGTATATACACACATAGTATTTCCTAGATGTATCATGGGATTGACTTTATTCTCTTGGCTACACAATAAACACAATTTGCCATGTGGCACATGGATTTTAATAACCCTATTATTTATCAAAGGAGACAAGGTCCTACCGAGACCTGAAATTCTGGGATCAGCATCCCGTAGAATTGCCAGGTACATCTCAGCCTCGAACTGGCAGGTGGGAAACAGACTTTTCTTAGGGATGCTATTAACACTCTGAACTCTGGTAAAACTCTGGTTGACACGATGCAATTGGGGGGTGTGCAAACTACGAGGCCCCCCTCCGTTACTGTGTGTGCGTGCGTGTGCATGTCGGCATCCTATGTACCATTCGGTCATGGAAACAAGACTTGTATGGAGGAACCAGACAGAGCAAAAGAGAAGTAAGAAGCCGGTGTGGGAAGGACATACCCGGTTTTGGCGAAGTTGGTCCAGTATGTCATGACCACCGCGCTGAGCATGACATCATTCTTGGAGAAGTTACAACTGAAGAGTTCCGTGGGGCCGATCATAGGGATCCCAAAGACATAGGGCACTTCGTCGCCGTGGGCTGAGTCCGCCCAGCTGGGTTTCATTTCACTTTGGCAGTGGTGATAGAAGGCGTAGAAGTAGGTCGGAGAGCCATACTGGGCGTGGAGGTCGGCTGTGGCCACGGCGGGGGCCACCCACTGGTGGTCTGTGAAGAGAGCCACCAGGGTCTTCCGTCGCGTCTCCGGGTTTTCCTTGTCGGCCCAGTCCGTGTACATGAATTTGATGGTCTCCCGCAGCGTGTCTTTGCCCTCTGGGTAGCCATAAAGGTTGTCCACAAAGTTGGACACGGAGAAGTCAAAGTCGTTGGGCGTCACGCCATCCTCGTTGTCCACGATACCATCCACAAACTTCAAGCCTTCCCCCTGGTTGACGCCCAGCATGATGTCATAATTCAGGAACTCTCCCTGCTCCATCAGGATCTGAGGGTCGTCCGGGATGACATCGCCATCGATGACGGGGCCAAAGGAAATGTGGTACGTGGCGGGGGTGATGGTCTGCTGAATGAGCTCTTTGTAGTTCTTATTCCGAAGACATTCGACCATGTCCGTGGTATCCAGCATGTTGCAGCCGACTTTATCTGCCAATATCCGAGTGTACTTGGCAGGCTGGTAGTTCACTGCCCAGCTGGACAGGGCGGTCCCGCTCTGGATGATCGCCTTCTGGAACAGACCTGCAGGTGCAAAGTTGTAGACATGCAAATGAAAACCCGAAAGATAGAAAAGCAGCTTTTACTGGGCAAAGAAGGCTCTGATTGTCTCTCGGGCATGTGAATTTCTGGATACAGTGGCATTCAGGTCTTTCAGGATTTTTTACTCATTTCCATCTCTTTCTGTTCCCCTCCCCCTCCCGCTGGACACTGGTTTTCTGGGATGTTCTTCACTCACACACACACACACACACACACACACACGCAAGCACACACACACACACACAGGGTCTCAGAGAATGAAACTGCATTCACAATTTAGCTGCAGTGGTTAAAAGAAAAAAGGTGCACTCCATTTACCCTTCCCCAGTTTCATGTTGTGTTGACATCCCCATCCCCAGATGCTATATATAAAGCCTCACAGAGTCATCACCTCCCCCATCCCTTAAAAGTATGCTTTGTGCCAAGAAGACGTCAAAGACCGTTTTGCCTCACTGGTGAAACCAGAAACCAGGTTCCACTTCATTATGGGGGAAAAAAAAAAAAAACTTGCACTGAAACCAATTTTAGAGTATAAATTCAGACATGTATTTCTATTTCCACCCTCAATATATTAAATGCATGAAACTTTTACAACTAAAATATTAATTAAATTAGCGATTCCTAAAGGAATCCTCAGTTGACTGCCCAACGAAAATGTATTTTTCAATAAATCGCTGATCTCAAAATCATATCAATTCAAAGCCCAGACTTTTCTGTCATGTATTCTGCTACAAGTTAAAAGCGTGTGTTTGGTGAGAAGTGGAAAAAAATAAAAATTGGGCTAGTTGATGAGTAAAATTCTGTGTAGCTTACAATTTCCTATCAGATCAGTCTAGTATATGAATGTCAGTCAGTAAAAAAAAAAAAAAAATTTTTTAAACCCTCTGTTTTTCACGACTACAGGACAAGAGATGATGGGGTATGAAATGATAGCATTCTGTTTCTTATCTCTTCCTGACATTTTCTTGGATTCCAGCATGATCTAGCTCTGATGGGTTGGGAGTTGCTGGAAGAATAATTCAGCCGGGAGCCCAGAAGTTCGTGCCCCGTAGAGTTTTAAGGTCACGCAAGCAATCAAGGGAGGAAAACATGATTGCAATCAGAAAGATGCGATTCTAAAGACTGGAGCATTGCCCAAAGATGACACCCAAGAGAAGATTTTTAAATGGATCTGGCTTTGCTCAATTCAACATCAAAGTTATTTGGGGGCCAGTTTCCCACAGTTGATAACACTCTCGGAGATGCACAACTATGGACTTGCGTGTTCAGCTCTCAAGGTTAATGTGTGGAAGCCCGGGAAAGACATGATGTCGATGCTTGATCCATCGTGAAGACTTTCATAAGTTAAAAAAATCAGGATTAGAAGAATTTTGCTACAAGTTACCTGGTTTGTTCTTTTTTTTTTTTTTTCTTTTTCCTATTACACTGATTGGCCATGACTGATGTAGCTCTGTGTGTGTGTGTGTGTGTGTGTGTGTTTGTTACAGAATATAATCCCTGATAAACCTTGAAAAAATGGGTCCAGAAAAATGCCACCCATAATTCGTACCAGAAGATACAAGTTACGTCAGCATTTTGGGGTCATGCCCACTTGGCTGTTTCCCCCCTCAATGTTTTGTTTGTAACAACCGAGTCCAATATACGTTTAGCTTTGACATTGTGTTTCCCAGGCTTTTGGACACCTGTTTTTGATGCTAATTATCGTTCCTTTGAGCAAATGCACCTGTTCCTTATAAACTTCTCGTCTTTTGAATCTTGGAGCTTTTCATTTGAGTCTTTGCTCTAATATCGTGGCGAACATCTTCACGAAAGCATCATTTTCCAGGCATGCGGTGATCGTTTTTTAGTCTACATGGCTAGAAGTACAATTTTAAGGCTGACGGTCTGGGTATTTATTTATTGCTGGGTTGTTTCGAAAAGCTGCAGAGACGTGACCCATGCACGGCCTTGCCGTAGAGCTTGCTCATTTCTGATCTGTTGATTTAAGTAATTCATGCTCTTCCTCCAATTAGATTTGGTTTACTGTGTTTGATTCCTACGGAAGCCGGTCCCGACTACTTGCTCACTCGAGAACTGGGATTATATCCACTGACAAATGGGGAAGTCTAAATATTTTCTGGAATGCTGTAGGAATGGATACTACCAATGACCCCTCTCGTTAGTCACTATTTCATTTTTGTAAAAACGAAGGGTTAATACAAGTGTGAGCCCCTAATTCGAGCTCTCCTTAATGTTACAAAATCACCTACAACCTTGTCAGCCTTGATTTGACTGATGGTTGCTTGCGGTTCTTGCACTGAGCATCTTATTGACAGGTGAATTCTGAATCTCCTCACCATGCTGAAAATCTGCTTGTCACTTCGGTGCCTGTGACCAGCTAAAATTTCTTCTCAAGCCAAACATTTTTATTTCCTAAGGCCTGCCGAACACCTTCAGAGGAAGTCTGAAGTTCACGACGGAAAATCAAAGTGGAAAAGCAGTTGGTACATAAAACAGCAACTAGGAGAGGCCACCGGGAATTGGCACAGATATTCATGAATCCGTAAGCAAGACTATTCTGTACAGAAGATCAAGACTACCATCCACTCTTCCCCGATGTTTCATAGCTAAAGGGGAATGATGGAAATAGGTTTGAATCGGGGTCTGGGAAGCTTGGTTTCTTCTCTGGCTCTGACTCTTGCTGTGTGACCCGAGGCAGGTTAAGCAACCTCTCTGAGCCTCAATTTCCTTTCTATAAATGATGGTTTTGGAGTAGATGAGCTTCAAGGTCCCCTTCAGTGCTACAGGTTACCAATGGACATGAGGGAGCCACCTTGAGTTAGGGTGGGTCATTTTTTTTTTCTTCATTTAACGTAATTTTTTTTTTAGCGGTGGTGGGGGAGAGGCAGAGGGAGAGGGAGGGAGAGACTCGTAAGTCGGCTGTATGCCCGGCATGGAGCCCCATGCAGGGCTCGATCCCAGGACCCTGAGATCATGACCTGAGCTGAGATCAAGAGTCAGACTCTTAACAGACTGAGCCACCCGGGCGCCCCAGACAAGCAAGTTTTAAAATCACGTGGCCATGAGCCACGTTGCTTACCGAATGTACAAATCTGCATCCCTTACCCACATCACTGTTTCTCTTCTGTATTACCTTTCCCAAATTGAGATGACAAGTTGACCGACTTTAAAGTTGACCAAAATGAAAAAATTTAAAATTGACCAGATAAAGTCGGAAAGGCAGAAGCCAAGTGCTGGTCTTGCTAAAGAAGTCATTTTGTCCCAATTGTTGCAACCGGCATCTAATTGTTAATTTAAGTGAGATGACAAAATACGGTTCACGTGGAAAGAAAGTGGAGTTAGAAGAAAGGGAGTCTGTGTCCTTTTGGGGATTTTCGGTGGAGGCTGCAAGAGAGACTTAGGACAACACCAGCACCCAGCACCTGGGATATGCACTCTGTGTGTGTTCACTTCTCAGCCCTGTGGGTCTTGCACCAGCATGGCGATGCCCTTCTTACCTTCTGAGTAATGTGACAAGGTCAAGAGGCTGACGCAAGAGGCTCCCGCCCCCGAGCCGAAGATGGTCACTCGCTTGGGATCCCCGCCGAAGGCCCCGACGTTCTCCTCGATCCACCGTAGCGCCTGGATCTGATCCAGGAGCCCATAGTTGCCTTTGGCCGCCTGGTCGCCGGTACTTAAAAATCCTGCAAGAGAACACAGGATATTTGGGGTTGTCAAGTATAAAAAAGCACATCGCTGGTCCTTGAAAAGGTATCTCATGGTCTACCTTGTTCATTCTTTGCTCGTCTCCCTATAAGTGAGAAGCACTGCCGGGGAGCATTTTTCAAGGCAGGAGGGATTATGTTATGTAAATCATTGTTATGACGGTTACTGTTCCTGCTGATCCTATAATACAATGTCTCATCTGTGAGTTTGTACGGGGCTACCCTACCCTGTCAGGCACAATCAGTCTAAATTATCTACACCACGTGACAATACCAGAGACTGTAAATTTGACCAGATTCGAGTTGTCATTCCGGTGCACGTGTTGGTTGCAAAGTGGCCAAGTTTCCTAAAAGAAGTTTTTCAGGGAAAATCATAAAAGGAGTTTTTCAGGGAAAGATCAGTGCATGTGTTGGGCTGGGGGGATTTCTGTGTCGATGGTTAAGAGACCGTGCATGAATATAAAGGCAATATGGGTCAGCTTTCTCCCATTGAATTTGTTATTAATATTTTCATTTAATTCCCTTTAATGCTTCAGTTTCAAAGTAAATGAGAGACGTCATGAGATCCCAGTGTCACTTAGCATGCACTTCTATCTTCGCCCTCCAAAACAAACACTAGTGCCAAACACAGAAACAAGTCTTTAATCTTGGCCAAATGACAATACGTATTCAAATCACTCCAACTGTCCCCGAAATGGGATGAGCTGGTACGTTTTATTTCAAGAAGAAGGAAGATTCTGTAACTTGAGGAACTAATTTCACTCAAGGCATCAAATCGCTAATTCTCCCTTAGAAGCTGCAAATAAGGCATTTATGGGAGTAAAGTGATCACATCGACATTGGACTCCTTGCCTGTTCCACATGACAAAAAGATCCTGACCTGGAAAAAAAGGCTTCCGTCTGACGTTTGAAGTTGACAGATACTCTCCCGCTGAAATTCAAAACTATGATTATTTTGTTAAAGCACCTGCCAAGGTTAATTTATTGCACAAACATCAACCCAACTCTATATCCCTTTCTTTCTTGCATAAGCCTTCTGACCAAAAAAAAAAAAAATGCAAGTCATAAAAAGTGTTTTTTTTTTAACCATTTTACTTTGTTATTTGTTCCTGCCCCCAAACACCCAGTTATGATATCTCCCTCTTCCGTTGCATTTGCAAGGGCCATGCCATTCACCTCATTTCAATTAGTGCGTATTAAGTGACCACCCGCTGCAGTGTTGATGTGAACGTGGACTGATTCGGGCCCGGAAATAACAGGAATCAGAACCAAGGCGATCAAACCTCCTCTCTAACCAAAGCTGACAGCAAATCTAAGGAGCACCTGAGCGCCGGCTTCTAAAACCTAAAACAAAATAAGTAGGGGATGAAGGCTTGTACCCACTGAGGAAGCGAGGCTTCGTTCCCCGGGCACCTGAGAAAAATGCACAGTGTGAGCTGGGAGGGTATCAGAAATGAATGGGCCCCAGTTTAAAATAAAGCAATGGGAAGGCTTTTTTGGGAGGGGGGGGTTGGGGGTTTCTAAAATTGCAACGATCGGACTCACAATCTCCTGTATCTGCAAACAGATGCAGGGTGAAACCTGCAAGGTTGTGCATTTAGGCACGTCCCGCAGATCCAGGCTTCTCCGGCGTTCACAGGGATTGAGCTGAGATTAGCTGTGATTAGTGGGAATGTTCAGACATTACCAACCCCTCCCTCATTTAATTAGCAATTACTAATTAGCGTTTCATGCCAGCGAATGTTCCCTGGCTCTGGCATTCATCATGCAACCTTTTACACAGTTTCTCATAAAATGCATCACGCTCTGCTTGGGAGAAAAGCCCCTTTCATGCAGCTTTATGTATGAAACCCGCTCCTAATGGCAGTTTGGGCGCCGTATAATAACCATAAGACAAGCCTCTCTTTCCCCATTAAGGAAAGAAGTGATTAATTCCTAAAGGCTCTAGTAATTTTTTGGCAGAACGGCTCTGTCTTTAACACATCCTTCCTTCACCGCCTCTCCCCGCCTCCACCCTCTGTCAACTCTCCCAGAATGACCTATTTGCTTATTTTGTTTCCGCAGAGCACCGTGAGGATTTGCAACATACGGTAAATCACCAGCCTTTATTAAACTGGGGCCCCTCCCGAGCAAAACGTGTCTCTTGTAACCTTTCAAATGCCAGGCTAATTAATATTCTATACCCTGGCAAATCTTAGCTTTCCTAACAGCCTCCTATTGAAAGGTTGGATCTTTGCGATTCTGAATTCCTTCCAAAAGTCCTGAGGGAAACAGCTCCTCCATGCATCTCTGAAGTTCAGCAAATGAACGTGGGGTTTTTTGGTTTTTTTGTTTTTTTTTTTGAAGTTGGTGTTTCCATAGTTTCTGCCACAGAATCTTCATTTACTGCAACACCCAGAGACTTTTTTTTCCCCCCTTTCTCTTGTAATTTAAACAATCCTCAAGGCACAGTTTCCATTGCAGGTACACAATGAATGCAAGCAATTTTATTTTCTCTGCAAGAGTGTATTCCTTTGCTATTCTGATCGTGAAAATGCGGTATTTGATATAATCCAGATACGAGATGTATATGAATTTACTATCGTGGAATTCTATGAACGTGAGAGCAAGACAATCAATTTGGAAACAGCCAGGCACGTCACCAAAGCTGAGCGCTGGTAGAAGCATCCTAAGAAGTCTGTCCCACCGCGGAGGACTTAACTCCCCATATACGCTGCCGATGAATTAACAGAAGCAGCTCCTTGGCTGGCTAAATCCAGAGCTTTTAAACAAACGGCTTCTTTCACTGATAAGCACTCTTGGCTGCAGATCCTTCAAGCATTTCAGCTGATGAAACATTTGGCTTTTGAGAGTTAAGGTCTCTGTAATGAAGGTTGTAAATCAGTCAGCCCCTCCACCCCACTCCAACAATGGGACAATGGGAGGGAGATACAAAACAGACACTGGAATTCACACATACTGTCACTATATTGATACCAAGTTTCATTCAAAGCACTGGAAGGAACAAAAACATATACATTCACACAAAAGACAGCCGGTTTATCCATGAGAAATGCCTGATCATCCGAACTCACATTTTCCCCCTGCATGCTGAATGAAATTCAACATCATATAAAAACAAAGCACTGTATTTGGTCTTCTTACTGGTGCTAGAATAGAAAGTTTCAGGCTTTTATGATAGGTTATCACAATCCAAAGTTTTCTCATTCTTGTGAATTGCACCAAAGGGGTCAGGAGAATGATTCCAGGTCACACGGCTGTCCGTGCACTGCAGGTCAATGGTTAGAAGCCCAATGTGTCAGATGGGGCTGCCCTTTTGTTCATTTGTAATAGGACTTTAAAGCTACAATCCATTTTATTTTAGGAGATGATTCATTAGATAAGCAGAGTAGACCATTTTTTGGGTGACCATTAACCACAAGACAAGTGCTAAGTGTATAAAGAATGATATAGTTTATATTTTTAGGGTGTGCATTCACCTGTAATTGCTAGAATTAGAGTCTCAACTATTTCTAAAGGAATTTCTGAAATACAGTTGAGACTAAATTAATTCTTATTAATTGCATATATACACATATGTGCATATACATATAGACATATTTCTGTAACATATGTAGAATGTATCTGTATAAATAGGTCCTTCTGTGAGAGCACACATATATATAAATACGTGATATATACATATACATACATACAGAGCAGCCTGAGGATTAGCAAATCACTAGTCCTTATTAAATCATAACACCTCATTCCTATATGTGTGTGCACACACAATTTAATGGAGTAAAAGCAAAAAGGAATGTTTGCATAAAAATTCTCCAATGAGAAGAGAGAGAATTCATTTTAGATCACACAAATGAGCCCAGAAAGAAACGTGTGATAAGAATTAGAGCAGAGGTATAAAGATGAAAATCAGCCAAAGACATGCAAATCTATCTTCTCGGACGTTTATAGGAAATCCTTCACTGGGTGCATTTATTACAACGTTAAGTTAAGTTTTCTTAGTGGAATCACGTACGATTTGACGAAAGGGTCTATACCTATGGGTGGAAGGGAAGGAAAGGTATAAACTCCAATTCTGTGAGCCTGATGGGGGAAAGCTCTTGAAATTTAGTGTCTACATTTGTAGTTTTTAGTTTACTTACAAATGACATGAGTCATAACCTACCCTATTTAATTATCACATCAATGTCATACAGGGTCAAAATCTATTTCCAATGTCAGTAGAATAAATCTAAGACAGTTACGAGGACAGATGATTTCTATGCACACGTTTCCAAACACGGGGCCCATTAAGTTGTTAACGGGATTCCTTACATTAGTTCCATAAAGTATATTATATTCCCCCACGGTAATTGAGAACGAGTCTGCACAGGCGTTTTTAAAGTACTTCAGCTGAAATTATATTAACTCACACACTAAAACCAAAGTTATATTCTGGAAACAAAATACAAAATAATAAATACAGTTTTGTTTATTACACAATAGAGATCAAAATGTGAAGGTCATTGCTTAACAAGTTTCACAGAGATGAAATTTTGTCAGTGGCCGGTCTGGAACCAAATCCCCTGTGAGTCAACTATGGATGCGTTTCCATTCGAAACCCCACACTAGAACATTGGTCTAGATTTGTGGGACTTGCTTTCAATTGGCCGTCAAATCTTTTTGCTTTTATTTCTGAAACAGCTCAAACACCTTGTTCCTGGGCTGGGTATGCACCCCAGTACCTGACATGAGACATCCAGTTGACTCCTCCATCCTGGCTGGCCATTTCCATACCATGAAAAAGATAACCCTAAAACCCTTAGATCCTGAAGGTCTAGTTCTATTAAAAAAAACAACAACAACAAAAAACCCTTTATTTGAATGCACAGAGGTAGCCAGCCACCCAAGGATCAATTCCTATTGATGGTAATTTTGAAAATAAGGGATGAGAGCAATGTCAGTGTTCATGAATAAAAGTTACGTTGCATGAATTCTGTTGGCTGAACCATATAATGGGCGGTTCTTCATTTGTGGAGACACAAAAACACATCTAAGATCTCTCGAGGGAAAACAGTGAGCTGCTGAATACTGGGTCCTATGATCCCATGTTTATTAACATAATAAAGCGAGCTGTAAGATACAAACTCTGGAAGGAAATCCAACATTTAGTAGTGCTTAATTCTGGGAATGTGGTTTTAGGTGATTTTTCCACTTAATTCTAAATATGGGTTTACACTTTTTCCAATTTGTAGCTCGCTCTTTAGCAAGCACACAAACACCGTGTTACTTTTTGACTGCCCCCAGGATAAGGCTTGCATTTCTGTATCTCTGGCTTTAGACGCGGTCGGCTACATCCAGGATGCTCTTTAAAGGGCTGCCTTGGGCCTGTAAGCTGCCCTGTCCACACTGCCCGAACCTGCCTTCCTCCCGTAGACCTGGCCTCACTCTTTGCTCACGGAGCATAGAACAACCCCATCCCCTCCCTGCTCCAACCCCTGAGGCAGGAATTCAGTGTCCTTGCTTTCTTTCCCTCTACACATGCGGGTCCCTTCTCAAAAGTTTCCTGATTGTCTCCAATCTCTCAGCTCCGTACATTTCTTTCAGCAGATTTCTATTACAGAATTCCCACTGTCTGGGAAGGATACGTGCTTGTCATTCAGTAGCGGGTTACCGTGTAAGCTGGGGTTGGAGTCAGTCACCTTCGGGTTGGAATCTATGGTGACACCTCGGGGCGTCATGTAGTTGAAGGTTTCCAAGTCCCAGTTTTCTCACATGTGGAATTGAGAAGAGGACAGTAACTCTCCCAGAGCATTGCTTGGGGAGCGGAGTGGAGAGGGCGCATCCAAATACCCCAAGCCCACTGTACACTGTGTGTGCTCACGAATGGTCAGCAACTCCACTGACTTCCTCGATTGCAGACACATTGGTACTTACTTGTTGCACTGATGCACAGCAAGTCGGAAGAGATGCCCTTTCGGTAAATGGAATGGGTCCACAGGGAAAACTGACTACTGGTCTACCTAGACTCTGACTTGAAGATCAGGCACGTGATAGAGAAAATTTCCATGCTGCCTGATTGCACGTGTTGTTTATGAAATGATTTGGCGTGAAGGTGATGCATATGTATTTGTTAATTCTGTTTATTAAGTGTTCAGTATATGCTTAAAGAAAAGTGAGGCAAAAAAAGAAAAAGAGAAAAGAAAAGAAAACCCCAAACCACCACATACTATAGATTTCATCCATGCTGTGAATTATGGAGACGCCATTCACCAACATTTATATGTACCCACGATGACCCAGGAACATGCTAAAACCTGGGGACAAATAGAGTATTTGAGTAGATTTCCATAGTTATATTGAAAACTTACACAATTTTTCTGCATTTGCATGCTTCTGTTTGTTTTTTAATAAGAATACTTTAGGACCACAAGTGACAGACATTTGCCACACTTGTGCTGAGCAAAGCATAACATACAGACTTGTGGAATCACTCTGTTGTACTGATGAGACTAATGTAACATTGTAAACTATACTCTAATTAAAAAAAGAATATTTTAAAACTGATTAGAATTGAAAGTCCTAGTTTTTCCAGGAAACTATACTTATAAAGCACACAGAGGACACACATTTTGTCCCTATATGGTATTCAGAGCCCTAGAAAGTGCATATAGGAGAAAAGACAATTTATACAATCCTATTTTTAACATAATTGTCATAATCTCTTTTAAAGTATACTATATATATGAAAGAATGCTCTATGCTCAAAACATGCTTCTCTGTTTAGATATGCTTTTCTATCCTCGATTGCAAACAAGGATGGTGCTGGACCTACTAGTGTTATTTATGAGTACTTACTGCTAGGTACTATCTGGGGGCGGACCAGAACTAATCTAGTCTGTTCTTATTTTTCCATAAGACAATCAGAACAAGTAAATGTAATAAGGACAATGCATTCTTTTCCAACTCAATCAAAATCCAACATTATCTCCTAGCACACATCACCTTTTTTTGTGCCCAGAAATATCCCCAAGATTTCCAACATTGGTTTTCTCCGGCAAAGCTGAAGCACACGTACCGAAATTGTTTTAGTTAAGAAAGAACAACAAGATCTGAGATGCAACAGCACACCCATGAGTAACAAGTAAGCATGATAACACAGGAAAGAGCTAAAATCCCAATGGAAAAGTTTAGTTTCGGGAACAGGGAGGTTTTTGAAGGTATTTTCCAGAATGGAGTGGCAGGGACGCATGCCTTTGGTTGACACTTTGAAGTGCTCTCTGCTTTATTGCATCCTCGCTTATTATGTATCATGTTCATAACTGTTGTAAGATCAGTGTGTTTGCCGTCTTTGCTATTTTTCTTCCCAAAATGGCTAGCCCATAGGTACACAGCACTCAAGATCCTGTTACCCACAACCACAATACAGGGATGTTGTGGGATGCTTTTCCTAAGACTCTTTAGAGTTAACTCTGCTTACAGGACCTGCAGTCGTGGTTGATTTTGAGAGGTAGAAATGTAATCTAATCTCATGCAGAAATTGAAGGCCATTTCACCAAGGGCTGGAGATGAGATCTTTGCAATTCTGTGTTCACTGGCCAGGAGACACTCCTGATTTGTGAGCAGCTACGACATCCCACTCTACCTCTTACTGTACTAACATTTATTGTTACAATTGCCATCATCATTTTTGATAACTCTGTCCTGGTGTGGCACTGGAAGACGCAGGGAAGGCTTTCCTGAGGAATTTAAAAGGCAGAAATGAAGATTTCTCACTGAAAAATAACATACAAAAATATTAAGCAGATCATGTAACAAAACAGGTATGAGTAAATTCAACTCACAAAGAGAATAACTGTCTGCTCTTTTTTTTTAACAGATTTTAAGTGATCTCTACACCCAACATGGGGCTCAAACTCACAACCCCAAGATGAAGATTGCCTGCTCTACCCACTGAGCCAGCCAGGTGCCCCCATAACTCTCTGTTCTTAAAGATTAGACATAATCTTATACTGATTCTCCACTTAAGGAATGTTATCTCACCAACTTTTGCTTAAACAAAGTAATTTTCCAGAGTCAAGGACATATCAAGTCTTCCCTACACAGACAGCATGTGGGGATCACATTGGGTCCCCTGAATTTTAGCCATTACCCTTGGATTCAACCAAATATCATTAACCTTGCAATGGCCAAAAAGCAAAAGCAGCCGGAGTTGGAGTCAATTGCAGAAAAAGCACAGATCTTAAAATAACGAAGATGTAATGGAGATAAAATATTTAACAGGCATATGGCGTTAATTCATTTAACTCAGTGAAATATGGCTCAATTCACCATACTGTCATGGGTGCCTATAATATTCCAGGCTCTCATTGTCCTTGTGGTGAAAATGTAGCAATGAAGCAGTTAAACTGTATCTTCGACTGCCTGGAACTCATATTCTAGCATAGGCAGATCGACAACAAACAAATACAAATTAAATGATGTAGTATGTTAGTTCCCTATTTTACAGCTGTAACAAATTACCACAAACCTGGTACCTTCATTCCACACGAGTTCTTACCATACAGTTTTAGACTCTGAAATCCAGACAGATAGATAGAAAGAAGACAGAAGGAGGGAGGGAGGGATAGATAAGATGATGGATAGAAGGATGGGTGGATGGATGGATGGATGGATGGATGGATGGATGGATGGATGGATGTTTGAGTGGATGGATGGGTGGCTGGGTGGATGGATGGATAGATAGATAGACAGATAGATAGATGGCAGATAATAGATAGAGGATGGATGGATGGAGGGAGAGAAGGAGGGAGAAAGGGAGGGATGGATGGATGGATAGATAGATGATAGAAAGACAGATGACAGATAATAGAAGAATGGAGGGAGAGAAGGAGGGAGAGAGGGATGGATGGATGGATGGATGGATGGATGGATGGATGGATAGATGGGTGGATGGATGGATAGATAGATGGGTGGATGGATGGATGGATGGATAGATGGGTGGATGGATGGATGAATGTTTGAGTGGGTGGATGGGTGACTGGGTAGGTGGCCAGGTGGGTGGATGGATGGATAGATAGATAGATGACAGATAATAGATAGAAGAATGGATGAAGGGAGGGAGAGAAGGAGGGAGAGAGGGAGGCATGGATGGATGGATGGATGGATAGATGGACGGATGGACAGATAGCGATAGAAGGAGGGAGGGAAGGAGGGAGGGATGAACACACAGATAGAAAGAAAGATACAATTATTTCAAAAGCTAAAGCATAGCATAGACTCATTTCATCACAACAGTTTCAAGGTTGCAAACCTGACAGACAAGGGCAGAAAGTGCTAAAAATAGGGGCTCTGAGGGAAATGCGCTCAATCCCTCTCCCAGGTGCTTCTGCTACACGACCAGATGCTGCCTCTCAATATGTGACTCAGCTATGTTGAAAATGAACCAGAGAGAGAGAGATGCCACTGAGCAACTCCAGGTACAGGTGTCCCTTTTTCTCCCGAGCCCACTTGTTATGGGCAGCTCTGCATCCTGCACTGTGATCCCTGGGTGAGCTAGGATCATCCTCTTCCAGCCTCCACGGTGCTTCGAGCCAGGAACGGCTGGGCTAGCTCAGAACCGGGGTGAGGGATTCGTCTGAACCACGCTGAGTTCTCAGGAAAAACAGACGCAAGTAGGCTCCATGCCAGACCACAAAAGTGCAATCTCTTGCGATTCAACCCAGGGGTAGACCCTAAAAACCAAGCAGGATTCGTACTTGCATCTGGCAGATGTAGTCATCCAGGATTGGCATTTGAAGAATAAACTGAGCACAACCAATGTAGTGTTTTTCAAGGCTTAACAGTGTAGGCAGTCATTACACACAATGGGCAGAGCCTCCACTGAGCGAGGCCACCCCAGACTTTGGTATATTCTTCTTAACATCATCAGCGAATGTGCCAACCACCGAAGAAAAAAGAGAACCAGCAACCTCCTCTATTATCACCGAGCCTATATCCTAAAGAAGCAGAAGGAAAAGGGAAAAGCTTTCTCTTGCCAGATATAAAAATCCCAACGTCAAATGCCTTTCGCTCTCTTTTTCTTTTTTTTTGCTTCATCCGCTACAAATTGTGACCAAATTTATGCTTACCTCAGGCACCTGAAAGTGTTCATTTTGTGTCCCTGTGAGGAAATTTGGTTTATTTTTGAGAAAAAAAATGTGTGGGGTATTATACTCTGCCTCACACTGTCCTTAAATCGAGTACAACTAAAACGAAAAGTCATATAAAGATATATATATGTGTGTGTGTATGTATAGTACACATTTTTCTGTTTTCATCATTTCTAAGTGCACAGTTCAAGAGGATTATTTATATTCACAGGGACGTGCAACAACCATCATCATTGTCCATTTCCAAAATATTTCCATCACCCCAAACAGAAACTCTAGGAAGCTACAAGTCCCCATGGGGGAAATATTTTTAATTGTAGTGTCCATAAAATGTGCTACCTACACATTGGGCCAAATCCGGTTAATAAGGTATGATACGTATTGAATGACCAATGCAAACCCCCTTCCACGTCGAATTGCAATGGACCAAACATTCCTATGTTGAAACCCTAATCCCCAGGGTTGAGGTTTATTATTAGGAGGCGGCACCTTTGGAAGATGATTTGGTCATGAGGGTGGAGGGTAATCATGAATGGGATTGGTGCCCTATAAGAACAAGCCATAGATCTAGCCATGCAAGGATGCAATGG